GCTGTGATACTGTGGCGATACCCCACTTTATTCTTAGGTTCCTCGGTTTAACAAGAACCCAGGAAGGAGTTAAAGGATATTTAAAAGATGTGGGATCGGGATGAATTTATGATAAATTCAGTTTGTTAATGTTTAAGTGATTAATCACTGCCTTTAGTTGTTCAAAAGTAAGATTTTGTAACATATTTTGAGCATTTGAATTTTTTGGTACTCCTAATTTTGTGAGTTCACTTCTCAGATTAAATTCCTAATAAAACTCTAATATCATTTTTGCTGATTCATTTTTCAAGGCTTGAATCATTTTTTTGTCATTACACATTTAAAATTAGTACAATGTAAGAACAAACAAAATTGTAATTCTATCACTAAACGCGACACGCGATAAGTGTGACTGATACTTATTTGCCTTAAAAAAAATTATTTGTCTTGAAAAAAAGATTAATTTATTGTATTTGGCTTGAGTAATGGAGAGCGCCGTTGGCGCCAACACACAAATGTCTAGCAGTATCAAATTCCAAATACATTAACAACATAATTCCAAATGAATCTTAAATTGTGGAAATTATATTTAGTAAACGACTCAGGCCAAGATATTTTACGAGAGGAACGACCTAAAACGTATTTTAATTGTGTATTGAGTCATTGTTTTAAGTTATTCGTTTCCTGTCTTTAATTTGGCGCGTTATCGGTGTGACGAAGCTGGCATTCGCAATGAGGTGTACTTGTTTAAGGAATTTTGCACGTAGACGACGAACATAATTTTCGTACTAATTGAATGATAAATTGTTTTGCCATTTAGGCAGGAAGGCAAGGAGTCGGTGGTATTTTCAAGACTTGTTTATATGCAAATCTAAAGCTTTCACTGCAATTTAGTATAAAGTGACGGATTGAACCTTTTTCGTAATTCAATTGAAGGGTATTTATTGAGTCTGAATGTAAATATCATTACTTTTGCCTAAACTATTTAGTTTTCGAGATATCGACGATTAAAGTTGAAAAAATAGTAAAAAATGGCATTTTTTCGTTCTTAAAAAATAAAGAAATTTTAAAAATTATAAAATAAGGTTAGTACATCTGTTGTTTATTAGTTGGCGCTATTTTGATAAAACTTGCAGGCAGCAATAAAAAAAATATAAGTGGCATTGTTATTATGGATCGAAGACCAAAAGATCCTTCTCCGGGAGAAGGAGAAACGTCTTTACGCTAATTTTAAAGAACCTGGTGGTAGGGGTGGTGGTAAATGTCCAGATGGAGTATTTCAAGCATCAAAAGGTTAGTTCAATAAATTTAAGGTGCGAAAATCAATGCATAACATTAAAATCGTTAGAGAAGCTGCAGCGAAAATTCTGCCCCTGGAGTTAAGGCAACAAAGGATATAATTAGACTGCTGTTTTGTTCTAATGCATCTGGAGATTGTTCTATTAAATCATTGATAAATACATACAATACATTTAAACTTATTAATGTTTAATCCTCGTTCGTTAAAAAATCAAAACAAGGCAGACCTACCAGTGTTTTAGCGTGCTAATAAGTGTTGCAGTTTCGCAACTGTATATAAACATTTGTAAAAGAATAACAGACTTTTTGATAGTTTCGATTTTCCCCGTATATTTAAACTAAGATTTGCCTATACGAAAAATACAGCTGTTTTAAGAACTAATTTAAAAGAACGAGGCATCTGCGAAATATCACCACATGTGCGTGTATAAGTTTAGGGTTTGAATTCCATCTACAAAATCAGAGTCGAGTTTTGTCTCTCAAACGATATACATGTGTATGTGCGTTTGGGTTAAGACTACCTGACTTCTTCGTATCCGTCTGCTGGTCTGGCGACCGAGATAGACATCACATCTTTTGCGATAGCCGGGGTGCTATCTTTTCATGGGGTAAAGTACATATACACAATGTATACACCATAATTTTGTTGTTGTATGGGCTAAGTGCGTATTTTGTAAACTAATATTACATATTATGTCGCGGTTTTGCACTTTTTATATTTGTTTGCGACTTTATTTTATTGTGCTGAACTTTATATTTCATTGTGTCACCCGTTGAGAATATTTACGTTTGCTTACAGATATGTATCCGTAATTATTATGGACTTGTTTGCATTAATAATTTTATTAATTAATTATTAAGTGACAGCTTATTAGATTGTACTAATTTCACTATTGTTTTTGTGTTTTTATGAATTTACTAATTGCATTAATTTTATTATTAATTTAATGTGCGTTTTATTACCGGATATATTGTTGAATTGACTTTATTGAATTGTTTTTATATCATTGACATATATATATATATATATATATATATATATATATATATATATATATATATATATATATATATATACGAAAAGTAGTTTTTTTAGAATCGATATTTTTGTTTTGGTTTGTTTATGATTATCTTTTAGTGTCGTTTCATAGTAACTAATATTTAAGTTTGTATATATTCTTCTTGTACATTTGCTTATGTATATTTATGTTTTAATTTCATTTAGTCCACTAGCTTTGATTTTTTTTTTCTTTATATGAATATACATACCCAATCCGAAAGGGGTACATCAGCGAGTTCTAGATTGAACATAATACATTCTCTCCCCCTTCAGGATGACCCCAATTGTTATATTGAGGTCATCGTATGTGCAGAACGCAACAATAAGAAAGCGTGCGTTACAAGCGCCATTTTTTGTGACTGGTTCCAGAATTGTTTTGTTTCTTAAGTTGAAACTGATTTTGAAATCAATGAATTTAGAGCAGTCTTAAAGCAGTTGACTTGAAACTCTGCATCCAAATATAAAACTGTCATTTTTAGCTCTATTATATTAGATGAAAATTCAAAATGATACTGAATAATATAGAATGTGATCCTGATATGAACTTTATGGAACGCTGGAAGAAATTTAAGCCCCAAAAAACAAACTACACATTCAAATAATTTGAAAAAAAAAATGAAAAGGTATATGTGATAACTAGAAGTATTTTGACAAATTTTGAGCAAACTTCATGTTTTCTTTAAAAAAAAAACTCTAAAAAACTACTTTTTCCAAGTATAAAGCGGGAAAACCAGACATACAATTTTATTAATTTTCTTACAGCATAAAGATATAATCATTAGAAATACTTATGAATTTTTTGAAAATTTTTGAATGTACAGTTTTGCCACAATGGAAAAAAATAATATGTTCCGGCTTATAATAAAGCTACCAGTAATATATAAAACTGTAAAAGTGAAAAATATTAGCAATAAAATGTTGAATATTTTTTCCTAAACATATGAAAAATCTCGTTAAACAAGAATTATATCTTGAACTGCCGCCATCAAATTGTATCGTAGAGAGAAGCGTTATTTTTTGTGACTGATTCCAGAATTGTTTTCTTTCTGAACTTGAAACTTATTTGAAATCAACGAATTTAGAGCAGTTTTAAAGCAGTTCTAGTTTTGAACAATATACCAGCTCATCCTCGCGAACTTGAAACTGTGCATCATAATATAAAACTGACATTTTTAGCTCTATTATATTAGATGAAAATTCAAATTGATACTGAATAATATAGAATGTGATCGTGATATGAATGTTATGGAATGCTGGCAAAATGCATCTTAAACATAAAAGAATCATTACAAGAACTGAAGCCATACACATTGAAACCATGCTGAAAAAAAACTGGTGCCTATTCTGACTGCTGGAAATGGGGAAAAATATGTGCAAGTTCGAACTTTTACTGCAAACATTGCCGAAATTGAGAGTGGAATAGGAAGAGGTGGGTTCGAATAGATAGAATCACGTGACGTTCAGTTACTTGAATAGTAAGATGAAGATTTGCCTGAAACCGTCTTGAAGGAAATGTTAAATTCACAACCCATTGAAGAATATTCTTGAAAAAACACTAAAAACGTGACATTTAATATGAAAAATCTTAGTGAATGCTTAAAATGGCACATGAGCTTTGTTGTTGGCAATTTTCTTTATGAAAATTGGTCTATGTATGGAACAAAGTATGCTATTTAAGAGACAAATTGATAATGTCACTGCTGAATATCAGTCTGAGTGAAAGAAGTTTTTAAAAACTGTCAAGCAAGAGAAAATTCCTAAATTGTTTAAACTATTACCTAAACCTGAATATAATATGTAATTAATCAATATGTATGGTTAAAAAGTAATTACTGATTTTTTTATATTGTTACGAACATGCATTCGGCATGGCCCATGTAACGGTTGCATCTCTAAACGGCTTCGTCTCGGGCTTCCAGAACCTTCGCGATGTATGAGCGCCATTTGTCAAACAACGAATTAGAGGTGGGACTACCCCAGACGATTCGAGAATAATACTTTTTTGGTATATATATGTAACAATGTTATGAGTTAGTTTAGTTGATAAGATTGTACCGAACTGTAAAGTTATAAATAAACATATTTATATAAATTCGAACCGCTCGTTTTATTTAATCTCGCTACAATATATTTCTTTTTTTATTTCGTCTCCTAGGAACGTATCCGCTATAATCCCAAATAAATTACCATTCGATACTCACGGTTTCTATATTTGCGATATATTTATGAAAAACTAATAGATACATAAAAACACAAATAATCAAAATTTGATCATTTTAAAGGTACAACACCACCCTAATAATTTTTTTAACTAAAAACATGGATTTGTCTACAAGATCTAGGACAAGTAAGTCACCTGTCAATTGGCAAAACAAAACGCCACCCAATAAACAACCTAAAGGTTATGAAACCTTACATTAAAATATTGTTTTTGAAAATTATGTAAAACGTAATTTTTATTAACATTCTGGATTAACCCCATAAAAATAAAAGATTACTACAAGACAACAGTTTCAGAAGCTCTTTAAATAAAAGTTGTAAATAGTATATACGAAATGGACTGCATTTTAGATAACTGTTAGAATATTACATTTTTAAAATTTTAATTAATTAAAAAAAAAACTTTATAATAAAATCTGAAACATTTTTGTTTTTTTTTTAGTTGCTTCTTCGACAAATGGAGGTAAATACGTCCCTAGAGCCATCCTGTTGGATTTGGAACCCGGTACTATGGACGCAGTGCGTTCTGGAATCTACGGCAAACTATTCAGACCCGATAACTTCGTATTCGGCCAATCCGGAGCTGGTAACAATTGGGCCAAAGGTCACTACACAGAAGGCGCTGAACTAGTAGACGCTGTCCTGGATGTCGTACGAAAGGAAGCCGAAAACTGTGACTGTCTTCAAGGATTCCAACTGACACACTCGCTAGGAGGTGGAACCGGATCTGGAATGGGTACTTTGTTGATTTCAAAGATCAGAGAAGAGTATCCTGATAGGATTATGAACACTTATTCAGTTATGCCCAGCCCTAAAGTATCTGACACTGTTGTGGAACCTTATAATGCTACTTTATCGGTTCATCAACTTGTAGAAAATACCGATGAAACGTACTGTATAGATAATGAAGCTCTTTATGACATTTGCTTTAGAACATTAAAAGTGAGTTCCTGTTAATTTATTAAAATATTATTGTCTTTTTATAAGAGTTTTAATACTTCTTAAGTACAAGAGTGGCACTTTCGCTTTTATAATTGTCTACTTCTTTTTCTGTTGATCATTATTAACTAATGTTCCATATGTTTTTATAAAATATCATTATTTTCTCGTTTTTAGGTACCAAACCCAAGCTATGGCGACTTAAACCACTTAGTTTCATTGACAATGTCCGGAGTAACCACGTGCCTTAGATTCCCAGGTCAATTGAACGCTGATCTTAGAAAACTGGCTGTAAACATGGTGCCTTTCCCTCGCCTTCACTTCTTTATGCCTGGATTTGCCCCCTTGACCTCCAGAGGTAATCAACAATACAGAGCACTTACAGTTCCAGAGCTGACACAGCAAATGTTCGATTCCAAGAATATGATGGCTGCATGTGATCCAAGGCATGGTAGATATCTAACGGTTGCTGCAGTATTTAGAGGTAAGTTCATGGAAAAATACTAGTTAATAAGTAGCAAAGGTCTGCAAATCCTAAAACGACAAATATGGAAAATGTTGTTTTAATGCCATGGTATATGCAGCTGTGTTCTAGATTTCTTTTTAATTTTTTTTTTTTTTACATTGACGAACATTGATGAAAATTGATAATTGGTCCTAAAATTCTGAAATAGTGTCTGAAATTAAGAAGCCATCTTCTTGGGAGTAAATTAAGGCAATAAATATCATTAGTTATGAGTGTTTAGGAAATTATTTATTAAGTTATTTATTAATCCGGCTCGAAGGACCAAAATGTATTAGTATTTATTAATTAATTCGTACCGGAAGAACCAGAATGTTTAAGTAGTACGTATTGAAATAGCTTATTCAATGAGTTTAAATTAAAAAAGTAGTTAACATTCAGTTCTGTAACTATGCAGAGATTAAAAATTCAATTAAATTCTGCTTTAGTCAAAAAATGTATTTTTTAAATTAGACCTCCATCTGCATATGTTTAAGAATTTATTTTGAACCATTTAGAGAAAAGACTTTTCTTTTCGTTTTATCTCTTCCAATATTCTTTCTATTTTTCTTCTTCTAGTACAAACACCGTAAATCATTAGGTTCGTAAATTTTTCAATTTCTTCTTTAAAAAATTGGATTATATTAGCTACTAGAACGATTTTTTAAGATACAATGCTCGCATATTAATATTAGAATCCGTATTTGAACTACAATAGCGCACTGCTCACTTGCGCAGAGCCCTGAATATTTTCGTTTCCACAACGGTCTCCAGGAGGAGATCACAACGGCAAAAAGAACTTCCAATGGAATTTCTTCATAAAATTTGATAAAAAAAAGAGTGCAAAAACTTGAAGTTTATTAAAATACATAAAATTTCCAATACTTTGATAATATTTAGATAATTACGAATAAACTTTCTTTACTGAGTCTCCTGGTAAAGCAGTTGCTTTGGTATTTCAATTGGCTACCTCATATAGAAAATATGATGATTGCGTAACACTAATTTTCATGACGAAAGTATTTGAGCATCATTCTCTCTTCTATATGTATGTATCTTGTATGTATCGTGTCTTGTATTTACGTATCTCACCAATACCATTATTTTTTCTCACAGGTAGAATGTCAATGAAAGAAGTAGACGAACAAATGTTAGCAGTCCAGAACAAAAACAGTAGCTACTTCGTGGAATGGATCCCTAACAACGTCAAGACTGCCGTGTGCGATATTCCTCCCGTTGGACTAAAAATGTCTTCAACCTTCATTGGAAATACGACTGCTATTCAAGAACTTTTTAAGCGAATTTCAGAACAGTTTGCCGCTATGTTTAGAAGAAAGGCTTTCTTGCATTGGTAAGTTAATCAGTTGGACTTTTTATTTTATGATCCCATTTTTATAAATCATACAGGAGCGACAACTCTTATTGAACTTGTAGGACTATTTTTTTGGCCTATTTTTTGTCACAAGTCTTAAAACACTCAATGATTTCTTGATTTGCCTATCCGTTACGAATGTTGGCGATCATCATGGCAATCTTAATCTTATCTGCAGCAGCGCAGATGTTGCACAGATGTTATATTTAGATAGATTCTGAGGTTTATTGTACTCGATTGCCTTTCCTGCGATTTGTCTTAGTACAAATGTGACGTCTTCGCAGGATCTTCCGGATCTGAATCCTTGTTGTTCATGTGATAAAGTTGTTAGTTTATTGATTTTGCTGATTCGGACTTTTGTGTAAGCGTAAGTGCGGTATTCAGTAGACTTATACCTCTATAATTGTTGAGGTCTTCTTTATCTCCTTTCTTAAACATTGGTATTATTATGCTGTTCTGCGTCTGGTATCTTGCAGTGCAATATTAGTTTGTCTATAAGTTTTGTCATCTCTATGGTTATACTTTCTCCTTTCTGGGTATTAAACCAAATTTCGTCTACTGCGCCGTGGTACCTATCCCAGCTCACAATCCAAATTAATAAACACCTAAACCCTCACCAAACAACATACCTAAAGTCCAAATTAATAAACATACAAAACTACACACACACAACACTACACTGTGAGCACCTAACACACTCCTTAAGAGTCGAATAAATACACACAAGGACAGGGGGAGATTGGTTTTCTGTGGTTTCCCAATCTCATTGCACAATGATAGCTGATCCTAGGTGAGGTCATAGCCACAGCTATCCTCCACGCGTTTTCCAACAAACAAACAATGGCCAACAATCTGAAAGGAAACGTTTTTCCAAAGAACTTGTACTTCGTGACAGGCTTGGTGGGCCTTACTAACTCTTCCGGAAGACGTACATCCGCCTCTTGCCTTCTTCTTGTTCTCGACCCCCATCCTATCCTATCCTCCACCACCCTCTTTGACCTTTCAGCTCTTTAGCGGCGGCGCCCTTAGTCTTCGGAGTCCAACAAAGTCATACGGGCGAAAACTAGCATTCAAACCAAACAAGCACCAGCACCCAACAAACAAACCCACCCTTGAAGAAGCATAGAGCTTAAAGCAAGGTTAAAACGCATTGATTGATTGCGCCGTGGTCAGTAGTATTTGCACTATCACTACGAAAACATCGCAAAAACTATAAACATGTACTTTAGTTCAGTTACTCAAAATTTAATAATTTAAAGACACTTCCCGCTGCTTTTGTAGTATTTAACAACAAAATGAATTCACCTAAAAGTATTAACAATAGTTCCTTATTTCTAGGTACACTGGCGAAGGCATGGACGAAATGGAATTCACTGAAGCAGAATCCAACATGAACGATTTGGTGTCTGAGTACCAACAATACCAAGAAGCTACCGCCGATGATGAATACGAAGCTGAAGAGGAACCTGCTGCCGATGACTTCAATTGTTGACGAATTTTCTGAGTCCCTACTCAACAATGTTTTTAGAAACTTAAAAAATTTAATAGAAAAAGCAAGAAAATTATTTATTTATTGGGTCTACGTCCGTTTATAAGTTGATTGTTGGTGGAAAATGCGGTGGTTTGGAGAATTTGTCCAAGATCTGTTGTGTAGGAGGTAGCAATCTGACTTTGTTTTTTAAATTGTAAAAAGTATTAGTTTCGGTACTGCCAAGTCTTCAGAAAAGATTAGACAGTTTAAAAGGACTATGGACTGCATTTTTTAACAACCTTCTTGGTTTTAATTGAAGAATTGTTTGAATGCTCTTGATATTTTCAAGTTTTTTATCACGAACACCTTTGTTCTAAGATTACATACATTTTCACTCTCATTCGTTTCGACAACTGTATGTATAGCAGTTTTTGCATAAATAACGAGTTTTTTAACACAGGTATTCCTTGATTTCTGTTCTGTTAATATATCTTACGATTGGGACTAACTTTATTACTTTTTGGTAGCCTTCCTAGAATTCGTGGTCAATGACGAATAATAGGCAACTGTCATAACATTTAGTCTCAAATGGCGAATATTAGGCAACCAACATAACTTTTTATTATCGTCTGTATTATCTTTAAATGCAAAGACAAATCTATTATATAGATATCGTTATTATATTTTTTATTTACAGCTGCACACAGCATTCATACAACTTTATTGAAGTGACGTTGATATACATCTAAATATGTTACAAAGGAATATTTATAATAATAAATGTTAAAACAAACTATATTTGTGATACATCAAACAATTTAATACCATGTTTTGAGTAATTCTTCTTCTCCAAATCACTTCTAAAATGGACCAAATGCCCCTCACGATTGTAAAAATTGCTTTTTTCGTTTAACCAAAAAATTTGTTTATTATTTGCAACATGCTAGAGTGTTGTTGACTAGTCCCTTTTTTCTAAAATTTATATGTTTATTTATAAAATATATTTTTACTGTAGATTTAGTTTGTAGTGTAACAAGATGCTCCAAATTTTTTACTCATTCAATTAGAATTAAATCAACGATAAAGAAACGTCTTAAAAAATATTTATTTGAGATGACTAGATATTGAAATCCACAATCTAATATTACCTTTTCTTAAAACGGAGAATTAAGTAGGTTGAGGTTGTGGTTGGTTAAGATAACCTTTTCTTAATCCGTGACAGATTGGTGCTCTAGCAGGAGAAATATAATGACATAATTTTTAAACACATATTTCTCTGTTGATAGATCTGACATCACTACTTATGACTTAAAGTCATATTTATAAGAGAAATACCAGTAAATATAACTTAAAGGACGTATTGATGCATAATTTACCAATAAAACTAACTTTTATATTTACATTAGATGTTTAAGCCAAAGACTGAGTATTTACGTAAAACATCTATGGACAGCAACTTATATGAATAAAGTAATTTAATCTTTTGTTAATATTAACTACTCTTTTATGTTTAAAACAGTGTTCGCGAATAAAACTGGAACTTTTAATTCTAGATATGACTCAAATGACTGTTTTTTCTTAATCTCATAATGATTTAATAAGCTAACCATCATTCTTATACCAATCTCATCTTCAGAACCATTGTTACAATTGATTTGGATCACCTTTGGTAGAGATAGTAGTTAGTAGATATAGATATAGATGTGTATTTTATTTGAAATGCTTTCGTTGTCTTTTTTAGATTTTCGGGTTGAATTCGAAATTCTAGAATAGATGGTTTAAGTATTTCACCAGCATGTTGCAAACAATTCACTATTGCATTTATTTAAAGATTGTATTCGATACACTACTTTGAACTTTTTTACATTTTTATTTACTAAATTTTTGTAGAATAAAGACTGAATTTCTACAGTGGATCTGTTGTGTTTTGATTGATACTTTCCCATTTAGGCCTTTAGAGATACTTCTACAAAGTTTTAGCGTTAGAGTTGATAATGCTTAAACGTATTAAGAGTAGGAGTAGAGTGTCTATGCCGGTTGACCACACCATAGGGAAATCAATGGGTTAGAGAGAAAGCGTTCTATCAATGTTATGGAGAGAGATAGATGACGTCTCAAGCCCCGCTCGCTAACCTGGGCAATTATGTTGAAGGAATCTACATTACCGACGGTGATAGTTGAGCTTTTATCTGCTAGAGATCACAAGTCGTCAATAGTAATCGGCAAACGAATTCTATAGGACTTACACAACCACTTGATGTTGGATTTTTTTGGCATTTAAAAAGAGCCTGGAAAAAGATTCTTACTGATTTAAAAACTAGTCAACCTAACTTAAATGCAGTTGAAGAAACATAAATAGACGTGATTGAGTCCAAATTTTCAAAAAAAAAATCGTAAAGTTCATTTCGCACAACTGAAATTTGTCCGTTTGACCCACATGAAGTGTTTGACCCACATGAAAGATGACAAATGAGAGATTTGCGAAAAGAGTAAGCTCTAAAATTGAAAATGCATTATTAAATTATTAACAACAAAAAAAGAAACTATTAAAAAAGAAAAGAAAAAGTGTTAATTAATACTGAACCCGGTTAATCAGTTAAATTTGAAAAATTTGATCAGAATCAGGAAGAAAGTGGTAACGAGGATTTAGAAGAAGAAATGTATTAAACATTTCATTGTGATTATGGCAGAAATAAAGACAGTAGGTACATACTAAATCGTAAACTTTTGAAGAACAAATATAAATGGTTGTAGTTATTCAAATATATCAGACATATTGAACGTCAATTTTAAAGACATTAGAAAGATATTAAAGGAACCTTCCCAAAGTAGAAGAGAATATTTTTCTTTTAAAGAAAATTCAAGTTGTTTTCAGTTTTAATTTTTCTTATGTTTTTTTAATAAAAAACTCTGAAAAATAGAACATTTTTGTTCTATGTTTTTATTAAAAAATAAAATTCAAAACGTATATTGTGGGCCAAGTAGTCAAAGCAAAAGGTATGTCGTGGGTACAAAGTAGTCCTATTACGTTTAAAATTTACCCTACAGTGAATTTAAAATAGCTGAGCAATGTTGAACTTTTCGGGGGAGCATTATCCACCTTGTATTAATTTTTTTTCTAGGCTCTATTGAAGGGTGTGATAAAAAATCTACCACGAGTTCTCTAAATATTTTTTTTATTTATATATGATCAGAAAAAAATATTTAAATAAAACTGAAATTTGTTGGACAATGTAGGCCATGTATACTGTACATCCATTAATGTATTGCTCATTGAAATAGGTGCTTCTAAACGAGTAATATTTTTAGTTTAATATGTGACTCCAGTACTGACTAAATTGGCCAGGAATTTATGATATTAAATGCAGCAGATATCTCGGCAATATATATCTCAGAAAACATAAACAGAAATTTGTTGGACAATGTAGGCCATGTATACTGTACATCCATTAATGTATTGCTCATTGAAATAGGTGCTTCTAAACGAGTAATATTTTTAGTTTAATATGTGACTCCAGTACTGACTAAATTGGCCAGGAATTTATGATATTAAATGCAGCAGATATCTCGGCAATATATATCTCAGAAACATAGCACTCGGGCAGTAAAGTTGTTCGTAAACGGGTAATACCATTGGATATCAATGAATGACACAATCATACCCGTCTCAGCGGCTTATGTTGTGTTAAAAGAAAATTAAAGGCAAAATATTGTGGATTCGATCTTTAGATAACATGAATGTAGAAAGAAGTCTATATAATAATAATTATTTATTTAAAAAATTTTCACGGATGTCAAAGAGTGAATACGAACTTCTTTTGAATGCAATTGGGCGAAAAATAAAAAGAAATCTAACACAAACCTGAGAAAAGCAATACCTGTTACAAGATTGGCGATAACTTTACGGTTTTTAGCTACTGGTGACTCTAATAAAATTTTGATGCATCTTCTATTTCTGCAATAGTACCAGAAGCCTTAATGGAAGGATTGAAAGAAAACATCATAGTAAGTCAACATTGATTTATTAAGTAATAATAATATTATGCAGTAATTTTAACAATGGTATAGTATATCAAATAGTAAGAACTTTTGTCTTTTGCTGATACGAAGGAACAGTAAGTTGCTAGAAAATATTTTGGCGTGAAGCGTTCTTATTTATTTGACACAATCTTGAGACCAATCATGAATATCCTACGAATTGTTATCTGGACTCTCTAATGGCGTACACGTACACAAACGTCGTTTCTTGTACATTTCCATATCACATTCATACAGAATTTGCATTATTTTCATTTCAGCCTCACTGCGAATATAATCGTCATATTTGCGTAACTTGTTTGCTATATGCTCACCAAAACTAGCATATTCATTTTTCATTTCTTTACCAAAATTACTTAGAAGGTTTTGAGCATTTTCTAAAATTGGATCTGTAGTGCAGGGCCTCTTAGAAGCACGTGGTTTTGGAGTTTGTGCTGAAGACCGCAAAGGGTCTATTGTTTCTGAATCTATGACTTCTTCTTGGTCAGAACTTATATTACTGTCTTGGGTTTCCGTCACCTAAAAATGCAAAAAAAATTCGTAATATAAAAAAATATTTTTCACAAGAAGTTAATTTCAAACAGTTTTCCAGATGCCATCAGGATGACAGTGTGGAAAGAAATCGTGAAAGATTTCGAGGTCGTATGTCGTACATACTGGAGTTGGGGGGAAGAACTAATATCCGATAGGGGAAGTTAAGACATACAATTTTTGGAAAAGCACTTCTTTTCAATTCATACAATTCAATTCGTACATGTAAAACTATTTAACACGTTCGCGGACAGTTTGGCGTTCCCATAAAGCAGGGTCGAGTGGCATGGTAAGATAAATATGTAACACCAAGGTATTGAGATCATTAACTTCTATAATATAATAAAGATATCTGTCTGTTTTATGTTCACTGGGTACCTACATTATTAATTCGTATAATACACTAATAAAAATACTTACATTCGCTGTTTTATTTTTACTGCCCACGTCTT